TCTTGACCAAATCCTATCTCTCTATTCAGGGAAGGGTGTGAAATATAACCTGCTTTCCTGTTCTTAAGACCCAGAGTCCTGGCCATCACCTCAAAAGGCTGCCTTCTGTAAACAGCTCCCTCAAAGCCACTGCCACCCCTCCCTTCTTCACCCCAACACCCCCTGCCCCAGGTTCAGCCATCACCTACCCTCTACTGCCAGTTCATGTTTGAACAGTGATCTGTTTATCTTATTCTCCTCTGACACAGTGCATCTCCCTGGAAGCCTTCTGTGTCCCACCTTTCCCCTTGCTCCCAGCACTGGTTTCCTGAACTGAATCTGGCAGCTCACAACATCACATTTGTCTCTGTCCCTCTTTCCAGTCCCTTACCCAAGCCTTCAAGAGCTTGCCTCAGTGTTCTTTGGGTTCTGGACATGGTTAAGTGGCATTTCCCTATGTCATCCCTGGGTTCTGGGGTGGAAATGCCTTTACCACACCCAGAGCCCCTCCCTTGGGAGCACCAGGGGGACACTTTAGTTTTATTTCATCTGGCAGAATAAGGTATTTCCTTCTCTCAGAAATGAAGGTGCCATGGATCTAAGTCACTTGGCATCTTCTGCTAGGAGTACTTGCAATTAATGTTTGTTCTTTATTCAAAGAATTTTAAATATTCAAAAGTCATAGAGTAGGTGTAGGGAAAAATCTCAGAAGGACTGGCAGGTCTGGCCAGCCCTCTTCTTCATGAGCCTGCCATTTGGAGGAGTGGTGGGATCCACTGGAAAGACCCCCTGTCCCTGGATCCAACCCTTAGACTCACCAAAGGACCAACCTCATGATCCTTAAGCCAGGCTGGGACCAGTCCCTTCCCACCCTGAGCTTGGGCAGGCCTCTAATTTTTATCAGAGCAATACACCTAGCAGAATACCACCTCCCTGCACCCCCATACTGAGCAGAGCTTTAAACGGTAAGAGTCACACTATGTAAACTTAAACAGGTAGCAGTCCAACATAGCCCCTGAAGCCAAGTGACTTGTCCAAGCTAACCAAGGTTCTGCCTCCATGGGGAAACTACTGGGACTTTTTTCCTCCTCCTTTTCACCTATTCAGACTATTACATTTCTCTACAATCAACATATATCACTTGTACTATTAAGAAGACAGTAACACTTTAGAAAACCAGGAGCTAGGAGTGCAGCTGTACAGGGCCATGGTGGTGGCTTCTGTGGCAATGGAGCCCTTAGTCAGGTGTGTGTCCTGCGGATGTTCAAGGGCCACACCAGGGCCCTTGGAGAACATGGCAGCTTTGAGTCCTGGGCAGCCCCAAGACTGGGCCAACAGAGGGCACCTGCACAGGCTGAGAGTGGGGTAAAGAAAGGAGGGGTCAGCAAGACCTGGATGGCTGGACTCCTTCTATGGTCATAAAACTTAAAGATCTAAGTGACAGGCAGCCTTTGGGGTTTTCCTTACGAATCCAACCAGTTTTAAATATTCTGCTTTCAACCTTCTATAAAGTGTGATTATTCCCTGGGTTGATGATTAGTGGTTTGGCTGGTAATTATTAAACAGGAAGGAACCTGAAATAAGTTGCCGTAAATTTGAACAAATACTTCATGTTCTTAATGCTAAATCTGAAGGTTAAACAGTGGGAAAGGGGCAAGAACAGTGCTGTTTGTATGTGCTGCTTTTAAAGAGTAACAGTGTCAGAACTCCTGGCTCTTGTCCAGGCTCTGTTGCTGTTATAAGGATTCTCAGACTGTTCTGCCAAAGTTCCTTTGATAGTGAGAGAGGAGAGTGAACTGGGCCCCAGCAGTCTGGGGGCCTAGCTTAAAGGGCCCTCCCTGAAGACCAGCTTCTTTTGGGGCCTTAAGTTTTAGCTTTAAAATTATGTAAACTTGACATTTTATTAGTAGTATATTTTGTTTGTCAGAATAGAAAATGATGCTGTAAACTATTTGCCATCAAAAAAAGTCTCTGTGGTCCTCTGGGAAGTTTCTTATGTATGCCATGACACCACCATGCAGCCACTTGCAATGTAGTGACACTTGCACCCCATGAGAAGTGTGTCACCTGTGGCCCTAGAAGTAAATCCCTTCCAGTTTGACTTTTTAAGTTGTCAAATATCCCTGCCGCTCCCCCAGCTTGTGTCTCTAATGACTACCATTTAGTGAACACTGTGTGACAGTCTCCATGTCAAACACTTTATATGTATGGTCATTTAAATTCTCACAACCACCTAAAATTCAGAGGGGTGAAGTGGCTTCCCTAAGGTCACACAGCTGTCAGGGGCAGAGTGAAGATTCAAACACCAGTCTGTTTGACCAAGGGAGCCCTGGCTGAGTTACCAGGAGCTTCCCTGGGAAGAAGATTTGTGACACACCGCGAAAGAGCATGGGTGTGATATCGGAAGAGTCAGAAGGGCTAAGTTTAGGGCTGGCCATCCCTGACTAGCTATAGCTTCTTGAGGGAGCCCCTTAGCCTCTGGGTCTTCATTTATAAAGTAGGATAAAGAAGGCCAGTGAAAGGGACAATGAGAAAAGGTAAGGCTTAGAGTCAACATCTTAAGTCCCTTCCTTGCTCTATTGCTTACTGTCTGTGTCATCTTAGGCGAGTCACCACATCTCTAAGTCTCTGATCCTCCCTTCCAAAATGTGGAAAATGACACCCACCTCCCAGGGCTGCCATGGGGATTAAACCTAGTAGTATAAACTACCTGGAACAGAGTTGGGCATGTAGTAGTGGCTCAATAAATGCTTCCCTGTAGCAGTAACCCTTATAATAGCAGCATTAGCAGTAGAGCCCATACTGAGAAACTGACTTTTTAAAATGAGTGTGAGAGTCAAACTACAAAGTAAGGCAGTCCCTTAAAAACAAAGAACTGGAGAAGGGTCTCCCTAAAAGCATCCCAAAACAGTTCTGCTGGTTGAAGACCTGGAGTTCCCTTTCATTGAAAAACCTCTAACATAAAGCAAAATCAGAGAAGGAGCCACAGCTCATGGTTTGTTCATTTTTCTTCATGTTCTTCTCCTTATCTCTTCTCCTAGATCCCCAAACCAACCCTTCTCTGACCCACCTCCGCCCCCATCCCCACTGGTGCCCAGTACCCAGAACACATTTCTGAGTCCTTCCTGGAGGAAAGGCACCAAACAGCCCCTGGAAAGGTGGCCTGGAGTGGTGGAGGTGGCCTGGAGAAAGAAAGCCTGGGGCAGGTTGAGTATCTAGGTCCTTCTGCCCCTGCCGGCAAGTTTGGAGGGCAGAGTCAGTCCATCCATGAAGAGAGGCTCTCAGGGTCTCTCCCGGCTTCAGCATTGGCCAAGTCCAACTCTGTGATGTGGCCAGTCAGCTCCAATTCCTCAGTGTGGGCAGGACCTCTATAGACCACCCACCAGTGTCTTGGGGACTTGTGTGGTCCCTGCCTTGGCAGCCCCACACAGACATTTTCCAGATTCTCAGTGATGGGGGGGCTCTGAGGAGAGTCCAGACTGAGAACCAAAGTCCTCCTCTCCGTCTGCCTGCTGGGCCCTCATAGTCCAGCCTGCAGGGAATTTTCCACAGTGTCTTGGGGACTTGTGTGGTCCCTGCCTTGGCAGCCCCACACAGACATTTTCCAGATTCTCAGTGATGGGGGGGCTCTGAGGAGAGTCCAGACTGAGAACCAAAGTCCTCCTCTCCGTCTGCCTGCTGGGCCCTCATAGTCCAGCCTGCAGGGAATTTTCCAAAGCAGGTGAGGCTTCCAGATCAGCCATAGTGCTGTGGGTGGGATAGGTCCTCCTCTCCCTGGCCTTTTCCCCCTAAGCTGGTGTCCCAGGCACCAGTTTGGAAAGATGGTTATTTATGGTTTATTTTTGACACCAGATCTTCGCTGCCCAAGTTTCATCAATTTGTCACTGTTTTTATTGTCAGCAATTGCCCATAACTGGAGCACATTTAAAATGTCATTGATCTTGGTATTACAGTGTCATAATCTGACAGTAATAGGTGTAGCCAGCACAGGAAGCCCAGGGCCTGAGATTGATGGCGTTCAGCACACCAATTATATTCTGTCCATCTAAGTGATAAAAGAGTACGTAGGAGGCATTCAATAGATAAATTAGATATCACTCCCAATTATGTCCTTTTATTTTATGGAGTCATTTGCTCCCCTTAGAACTTTTTTTTCATTTGGCTTGTAAAGGGGGCATTACTTGACCCCCAAAGATCAGGGCTGTTCCCCTGCTTGTCCCACCTTGGGTTTGACCCTGATATCTCCTTACCTTCTACAAGTCTCTCACCTGGGCTTTCCCTGGAACTCACTTAGGAGCCTTTCCAGTGTGGTGAGTGGGCACAGGGAGGAGGGGGAGATTCCCTGGTATCTGGGGAGGGGTTGAATCAGACCTTTGGGAACAACAATGAGGTCTGATGCTGCATTTCCTTAATGTGACTCTGGCCAGTAAACGAGATCAGAAGAGCTATTCATGGGTTTCCATCCTCCAGTTCCAAACATCAGCAGAGCCTTCAAGTTAGGACAGCTAGTGAACTCCTGTCTGGGGAAGAGGAGAATGGTCGGAAAGCTTTCAGTCCTTAGGAAGGGAATTCATCCACCACCATCACCCACCCCCATCCCCCACTTCCACTGTAGCCTAAGTTGAGGCAATTCAAACTTTTCCTGGGAAGAACTCCCCCATCCCCAAGCCTCCTGCACCCCCATTCTGGTCCAGAGTAGATGCCTTCCTCAGTGGGACTCCTGCCACTGAGGTAGCAGAATGATGCCAGCTTTCCTGGGATGCAGCAGGTTCTCTGCTGAAGAACAAGTACCAAGAGCAGCTCATCTGAGGCAGGGGAATGCCTGGCCAGAAATGAGAGATATGGGGAACAGAGGTACAGTGAGGAGGTCTTTATTTGGGGCTTAATTTATAAGCATCTTAAACTCTGAGGACAGCCTTGACCCGGTCCAGACCCCTGTTCCCCCATCCCCCTGTTCCCCCATCCCCCTATGTCTTCCTGAAGCCAGCAGGACTCACAGAAGAGGCTGAGACAGCAGGTGGTAAACTGTTCCAGGTTCATTTATTGAGCTTTGCAAGAGAAAGTGTCCATGGGCTGGGCTTTCCCCATAGCCTGGTGCCATCTCAACTGTTATAAATAATCCTGAAACTAAGTACCCTATTACACTGAGGGGAAGTTGTTCATATGATGTGAAACCTGAGAATACGAGTCAGGGGAGGAGGGATGATGGGGGACAGGAGAGAGAGAGATGGGGACCCATCACCCCAAGGCTCCTCAAGTATACCTCGGAGCTGCTGATAGATGAATTTCTGAAGGAGCAGATGGCATTTCAAGTGAAATGTTTATAGGAAATGAGTGTGATTTAAACAATGTCTTAGTCGATAAACGCCAGCCAGATAGGGGGAGAGACCAAGGCGAGGGGTGGAGGAATCAAAGGCCTGGAGGCCCCCAGTGTTAAGTAGCTGTCTGGAGCTCTGCTCAAACAAACACACGAGCTTCGGTCTTAACATGTCTTTAAGAGCTGGTTGTGATTTCCTTGAGGGCGGCTCAGATTGAGACTAGAGTACAGCCCCCGGCTGAGCACCTTCAATAACCGTCCATCAAGTCCTCTTTAGAGACAGCAGCCTCCTCCCCTCGGCTCAGGGAGCCTGCGACTGGGGAGGGCCAACAGGCTGCCCTGCTTGTCAGCCTGTAACTAGGCAACTTTGAACCTCTCTGCTCTTTGCACGGGCCCTATTCTGGATGCTGAGGCAGAGCCTGGGGACAGGAATTGAGCCCCACTCTCACAGAGCTCTAAGTCTTCAAGGAAAGGGAAAACACACAACCTAGAACAAAAGAGAGAGAGAGAATGAAGAGAGCAAAAGAATGGGAGCCAGGTAAGAGAAAACTGTCACCAAATCCAGAATCTGGGCCCTTCTCCCATGTCCACTGCTGCCACCCGGTCCAAGCCACCCACCTCTCACTTGGCTTAATGCAATAACCTTTCAGCAAGTCTCCCTGCATCTTCCCTTGCCCCACTGCAAACTACTCTCAATAAAGGCAAAAGGACTGTTTAAAACTTAAGTCCAATCATGTCTTTCCACCCCATTTAATTCAGAATAAAAATAAAAATCCTTAAGACAGCTTACAAGGTCCTACATCATCTGGCCCCTCATAATCTCTCTGATGTCATTCTTTCCCACCCGTCTCTTTGCTCACCCCACTCCAGCCACACCGGCCTCCAGGTTCTACAAACTTGCCAGATTGTGCCTGCCCCAGAGCCTTTGTATCAGCTGTTCCCTGTGCTTGCAATACTCTTGCCCAAGGTATCTGTGGGGCTTATTTACCCCCTCACCTCTAAGTGTTTGTTCAAATACTGTATTCTCAATGAGGCCTCTTGGACCGCCATATTTAAAATTGCAGATTTCCCTTACATCCTGATCCCTCTTTCTCTGATCTGTTTTTTCTGTAACCCTTATTACCTCCCAATACACAATATTTCTTTAATAATGTATTGTTTATTATCTGTCTCTCCCTGCCAAAATGTAAACCCCATATGGAAAGGGATCTTTCTCTGTTTTGTTCACTAGAGCATCCCAAGAGCCTGGAATAACGCTTAATAACAATTGCTGAATGAGCAAACACAAAGGATGGGATTAACCAGGGCAGTCTGGAGGGCAAGACAGAGGGATGTTACCCCAGACTTGGGGTTAACTTGTGTTTTATTCACTGCAGGCCATGATGATGACCTGCACATCAAGATGATGGGAACAAACCTGGGCAAAGGCATCACGCAAAGTGGGGACATTCTGCTGCCAAAGGGACTAGCCTGCATTTATCACCTGAAGCTGGTAGAGGACTTGGCTTTAAGGTAGGATTTCATTATCTCCATGACCAAAGTGTACTTTGGTATAAGGATACCAAAGGGATGTGCTGGGCACGAATGAAGTGGTTGGAGGTGAGGGGGACTAGGGGGCTGGTTGAGTATGTACCTTGGAGGAGGGAACTGAGTCATCATCTCAAAAAGGATGTCCCATCTCCACAGAAGGCAGAATAAAAAGCCATGGGCTGCATGTAAAGGAGAAGGAATTGGAGCTAGACATCAAACAAGATGTCTCAACAGTATAACAGGTATGCTAGAGGAAAGCACGGAGACTTGTGCTCTGGAGAACCTGAGCTGGACCCAAATGGGTGACGCCTCAGCCAGGTGAACAGTGAGGGCCCTGTGGGTCTGGGAGGCCCTTGGATGGCAGGGCAGGGGACAAGAGCTCTGGTGAAGGTTTCTGCCTCTGCCTGGCTCTGGACCCCACCTCCTCAGCTGCAAGTCTCCTGCGTCGTGCCAGGGCAGGAGGGGAAATGGAGCATTTGGGACTCCAAGGCCCTACCCAGTCCAGCTGTGTCCCTTTACTGCCTCTCCTCAAAACCTCAGTGCTCAGCTTGGCTTTGTGGCGCCTTCAGGATAGAAACCAGGAGAAGCAGAAAATAGTTTGGAGAGTTACACAGGACAGTGACGACTGTGGTTATAATGCAGAGAGGCCCTGGGTGGCCTGGTGGTCCTGAGGAGGAGAGGGAGACTTACTTGTCACTGTATAACTTTTGCTGCCTTTTGAGTTTTCAACCATGTACATGTATTTCCTATTTGAAAAAAAAAAGATTAAAACCAGATGAGAACAATACTAACGACAAAGAACAGATCCAGGGAAATGGGAATTTGATGCCTACAGTTGCTATGCTGAGGAGAGTGACCTGGCCCTTCTGGCCTACGTGTGTGCTGCTCCTCATCTGGTATCTCCATTCTCTAGAGGTTCAGAGAGGGGTGTGGATGGTCTGATATCACACAGCATTTAGGGGCCAGCAAAGGTCTGGGGTCAGGTGTCCAGATTCTTAGTGTCAGCTTTCTCTCTAGGTCTTCAGTGGCCTGTTCTCCCCCTGACCTCTCCCAATTATTTGCAGGGCTGCATATATGCTCCAAATCAACCTTTAAAGAGATATTTAAAAATGTGCATGGCCCTAAATGCCATCTTCCTCAGAGAAGCATCTCTTTATGGAGCTCTCCTTCATCCCCCCAGTGTGGTGTCTGATAGTTTATTTCCTCCTCTCCACCACCCTCAACCACCAAAGTGGCTGTCCACTGCAATTTGGCCCTGCCCCTGACAAGACATGTGACCTTGAGCAAGTCATTTAACCTTTCTGTGCCTCTGTTTTCTTCATCTCTAATAGAGGATCATGACCTTCCTCCCACGGCTCTTCATTCATCTACTTGTACCACAGGCATGTATTCTGTGCCAGGCGCTGAATCCAGCACTGAGGATCACACGAGACAATGTATGTGGAGCCAGTACCGAGACACAGAGTTATTGCAAAGCCTCCTTCCTTGGATGCTTTTCAGGGCCGGGTGCTCCAAGCACCTCCTCTAGCATGGCCATGGAGGGATTGGTTCAGTCTACTTGCAACCTCTCAGCTTCCAGCACTGCTCCCAGGGTGAGGCTGCCACCCTCCTCTGGATAAAGTATCAGGGGCTGCAGAAATAGCCTCTTTCCCAGGCTTTTCCACTTGACTAGATTCCAAGGGCATCACTCTGCCTGCAAAAAGGAATAATGCTGAAATTCATTTGTAGGTTTTTAGTCTGGAACTTTAGGAGGGTCCACTTGTCTGGTCCCTGAGAATCTGCTTGTGTCCTGCTCTGCTCATTTCTTTCCTTTCCTGAGTCTCACACCTTTCTGGGGACTGGCACAAGGGCTACAAGTCTGGGGTTGTAATCTCTCTCATATTTGCCACCCTCTAAATGGAACCTGCAGTGTGGAGGAAAGATGGCCCCTTCTTTAAACCAACAACCACAGTCTCAGAGCATGTAGGAGCTTGTTTCAGATGGAGGAGTAAGTTTCCAGAGCTCCTGGCAGGAGGTTGTCCCCACTGCCCTGGCTGGCCACTGAGGACTGGGTGTCAACGGGAGAGAGGGGTGTTTATAGGAAAGATGCACTGCTTCAGCCCTGACCATCACAAAATCCCAGGTTAAGTCAAAGTCATTATGATGGACCATGGGGAAGGAGGGATCAAGTTTAGACACAAGGAGGCACTTTCTTACTGTAAGGAAATGGGTTTACGGAAAGAGGTTGTGGAAAGAGGTGGAAAGAGGTTGTGGAAAGAGGTTGTGGAAAGAGGTGATGGAGCCACTCAGACACAGTTCTTCCCAAGGCAGTAGGAAGGATGAGATGATCTAGGGGTTGCAAAGGATTCAGGGGTTCTATGCTGTTGCAGAGCTGGCAGACACCAGAGAGGAAGCCAGGGAGATGTCAGTTTATTCATGTCTAGAGCACCAACCCCATGTACAGGGATCAAGTTCTCTGGAATCCCCAAGATGCCCAGCACAAAGCCTCACAACAGGGCAGACTGGAGAATGCAACTGAAGAGGACAAGTCTTCAACTCTTCAGACTGGAAAATGGTGCCAACTCTACTCTCAGAAGACAAGTGGTTTAGAGCTCCAGAAAAATATATGGTTCTGGACTGTGGGGCCGCAAGCACTTACCTGTGTGCAACCCTCAGCCTTGTGTGCTGTCGCTTGCTTTGATCTCACCTCAGTGTGTGGGCTGTGCCCACTCCAGGGACAAGATGAGCGGGGAATAGGGACCTTGCTTTCAGACCTAGCTTGTTGGCTGTGCAGGCAGGACAAGTTGGTCAAATTCTCCAGCACCTGTCTCTCTCGGGAGTCTGGTGGAAAGCGATGTCAGGGGTCCTTCCACACCCCCCGAGGAAATAAGCAGAACAGCAGAGGGCAAGGGGAGATGAGTGGACAGCGGTTGGGTTCAAGGAGCCCTGCCTGGTGGGGGTGAGGGAGCTCCTCTGGGTGCTCAGACCCTCCACCCTCCTGAGGAAAGGGTGCAGCTTTTGGAGGGCAGGAACTGATCCTACATCATTTCAGCAGACCAGTGCCCAGAATGCATGGGTAGATGAGTCTGCGGGCCAGGAGCTAGCACCGCCAGCAGCTGGAGTGGGTCTTTGGATAAGGTCCTCCCTCTCTGGGCCTCAGATTTTTTTTTTTTCATGTCACATGAGGGTTTGCAGTAGATTATCTCTAAGATCACCCCCTCCCCCATTTCCCTGTTCTCACATCTGTTCCTTCCAGTCTCTCTCCCTGTACATTTTCTGTTCTCCCCCTTTCTATCCTTCTCCCCACTTACCCCGTATTCTCTGCGCTCCCCTTCTCAGCCTCTCCCCTTCCCAGCCAACTTTCTCCCGTCTTCCCTTTACAGGTGTCCCTCTGCCCGGCTCCCTCCGCGTTCCCGCCCCGCCCTTGCTCTCCTCTCACCTGGTCTAGCGTCCCCTCGAGCGACAGTTAACGCCAGAGCCGAGAGGTGGCAAAAAGGGCAGGTCCTGAGCGGGGCCCCATCGGGGGCCCCGCAGCCCCGGCCCCGCTCCGCAGCGCCGCCGGCCCGCCCCTCTCCCAGCAGCCGGTGCCTCCGCGCGCCCTCGCCCCGCGCTAATGCGATCTGGAGAGACCCGGGCGGGCGGCGGGCAGTCTGGGCCAAGTGTCCCGGGCGGCGCTGATGGATGGTCCCCTGACAGTAATCGCAGAATGAGGACGCGCTGGCGACGCTTTCGCCTGAGGCCCCGCTGTTCAGTAAGCCTGGGAGTCAGTCCCTCCATAGCGCCCGCCTCCTAGGCTCTGACCCCAACCCACTCGGCCTTGGGGAGGCCTGAGGGCTCCAGGTGAGGGCTGAGGGGCGCCTCCCCTGACCCTCAAGACCCTGCTTTCTGTTTTAGAATCGTCCTTCGGTCCTACATTGCATCTGTGCTTCTGAACAAGTCATTCATCTCCTTGCACCTCAGTTTCCCCTTCTATATAATGGTAAATAATGGTCTTTCTAAGCCTGGACGAGAGTGTGAAAAACAAAGGAGAAAATACCAAGGAAAATTACCACTCTCCCTTAAGTAGAAATCGATTTTTACTTTTAGTTCACAGTGCTTAGAAGAGCCTGGACTAATGCAAGCAGCAGAAGGATAGCTGAGTGGATATCCACACACAGAATATGTTTTACAGGTACATGTGTCATAATGTTTTGAGCTGTAAAATAAATACATCTGAACGTAAAAGCTGGCCATATCAGTGTTGCTTAGATGCCTTTAAAGAGAAATACGTAGGCGCAGGTATTTCTCCCAGGAGATGACAGCCTCAAGCAGGACTCTCTCCACTCTGCTGAAGCCCACATTCCCAGCTAAGTTCCCTTCCCCATCCAGTCTTGGGATTCCCTTCAATGCACAGCAAGGCTGACTATGGGCTGTGAGGAGAAGGTCCCTCTTGGGGAACTGTTCTGGACAATTTCCCAACTGCTCACCCACTTCCAGGTGACAGAGGATCTAAGACTCCTCTAGCCCTCCCTCTCCAGGGGACCCCCTTTGGGCATGGGTCCTCCAAAGGGTGGCGGCAAGGGTAATTTGGCCAATTACAATTCTGAGAGCACACCCAGACGCCTCCTCACTCCCTTTTAACCTTTCCCTCTTGTCAGAGGCCAAATTGAGTTAGTCTCGAGTTTTGATTTAATTCCTGAAATGGAGTCATAATCTGTTTAGTGTCCTTTTTCCCAACTCCTGGGTACTGAAGTGTGTGTAGGGGGAAGGGGGAGTTAATGAGTGCAGCTCTGTGGCCTTATACACACTTAACCTCCAAACAACACCAAAGAGCAGGAGACACCATGGCCCTGAGTTCCGCTGGTGGCATCACGGTGATGGTGATGATGGTGATGATGAAGCTGGCAACTGCTATCTGCTGGGGCACCGACCATGTGCCAGTACTGAGCCCGACCCTGTACATGCATTTCTCACTTCATTCTCACAATGACTTTCCAGGTAGGTACCATTATATTCCCAATTTACAGAGGAAGAAACTGATCTTCAGAGAGGTGAAGTAGCTGATGCCATATCCTACAGCTCTTCAGAAATGGCAGAGCCCAAATGTGCAACAGTCAGTACTATGCAGCCTATACTTCTGCTATGTGACCCTGGGCAAGATACTTAACCTCTATCCGCACCAGTTCCTTCATTTGCATAACACAGATAATAAATAGGGATATTAATATGCCCCCTTCTTAACAAGATTATTATATTGACTAAGTGAGGTAAGGTATTCACCATATTCACATTAAGCAGCCAATGGTTTATGTGCTGTAAACACTGGGATGCAGTTGGACAAGGGAAGGGATGCAATGCAATGGGATGGCTATTCATGATAAAGTGTTCCTGTTGATAATAGTAGTTACATATTGGAGAGCCTACTGGGCACAGGCAATCCTACAAGGAAAAGATTGCTGTGCCTGTTTTACAGATGAAGAAACTGAGTCAGATCAAGTCAGTAAATTGCCTAAAGCCAACCAGTAAATAAATGGCATAACAGAGCTTCTATTCAAACCCTGGGCCCTTGGACTCCAAAGCCTGCTGCTCTCAGTGACCCCAGGCTCACTGGAGACTGGCCTCTCCTGGAGGAGGTTAGGGCTGAAGCCAACAAGCCGAAGTCCCATCCTCTACAACCTGGGACCCAGTTTTCTCCAGGTGAGCAATGTTTCCTTAAAGAAATAGGAGGAAAGTAAATAAAGAAGCAGCTGAAACAGTCTCTACCTCCCCCAAAGCCAATATGGAGCCT